CCTGGTGCTGGCCCGGCCGCCTCGGGGCCCGGGTCCTCACCCTCACCGTCACCGGGGCCCTCCTTGGCCCAGCTGCCCTCCTTGGCCCACGCCCCCGGTGACGACCCCTCCTTGGCCCACGTCCCTGGCGACGACCCTTCCTTGGCCCACGTCCCTGGCGACGACCCCTCCTTGGCCCAGTTGGACGGTGATGACCTCTCTTTGCTCCAGTTGCCTGGCGACGACCCCTCTTTTGCCCAGTTACCTGGCGATGACCCCTCCTTCGCCCAGTTGGCAATGGAAGACCCTTCTTTGCTCCAGTTGGCCATGGCTGACCCCTCTTTGACCCAGTTGGCTGCTGATGTCCCCTCCTTTGTCCAGTTGGCCGCCGATGACCCCTCCTTTGTCCAGTTGCTTGGCGACAACCCATCCTTGGCCCAGCTGCCTGTGGAAGACCCATCCTTGACCCAGTTGGCGGTAGAAGACCCGTCCTTGACCCAGCTGGCCCCTGCTGCCCCATCCTTGGCCCAGGCGGGCTGCAGCAAGTGCTGCTTGCGGTGGCGCTGGGCCACCTCATAGGCTGACTCCACCTTGACAATGCAGATGTCGGACACGGCATCCTCGTCCCCGTCATCCTCCTCGTCATCATCGTCCTCGTCCTTGGGCTCAGGCTCCTCGGCCAGGCGCAGCTCCAGCTTGACAGGTGGGCGAGGCTTGCGGGGGGCCGGTTTGGTGTGGCGCAAGGGGGCTGGGCGCGGGCCCCCGCCTGCCCCAGGCTTGTCCTCCTTGAGGCCGATCCGGGGCTCGATGAACTGGGACAAGGCATTGCGGCACTTTTCCACCACATGTTCCATCTGCAGGTAACTGGCAGCCGTCAGGTAGTTGACTACATCGCGGACGGCAAACTCCAGGGCACCCGTGTAGCAGGAAAGCAGCAGGTCGGCCACAATGCGGGCGCTGTGGACCAGCGAGACCTGCAGCTCGGAGCTGGGGTTGAGCAGGAACTGGTCGCGCAGGAAGGGTGAGCAGGCTGCCAGGATCACCTTGTGCCCCCGGAACTTGAGGCTCTCGGCCACGATGGTCACGTCGCAGAACCGCTCCTCGGCCCGCAGCTGGTTCATGTTGCGCAGCGTGGCTGCCTCGTGGCCTGGCAGCTGGAAGCGCAGCAGCTCCGGCCCCGATGCCATTGTTGCGCCCAGAGACGGGGCCTGGGGGGCCGGGGTGGGGATGCTGGGGGGACCCAGGGGCTTTGGAGGGGCCGAGATGGGGGTTTGGATGGACCTGGGGAGGTGAGGGACTGAGATGGGGATGCTAGGGGGACCCGAGGGCTCTGGATGAGTGCAGATAGGGATTTGGGGGAACCTGGGAGGGTTGAGAGTGGGCGAGCTGGAGGGGCTTGGGGGTGTCTAGAGGCCTGTCTAGGGGAAAGAAATGGGGGGGCTTGGACGTGTCTGAGGGGGGTTCAGAAGTGGCTGGGGGGGGGGGGGGG